AATATATATATATATATATATTTTGTAATTGTTTCTGAGTGTGATGTCTTTGGTGTTGCAGTGCCTTTGACACGCTAGCTAAAGCTCTGAACCCCAGTGAGGTGGTGGAGGGCCAGAGCTTGTCAGAGGTGGATGGGGTGGGTGGAGCTACAATACAGGTGATCAGCAGGGATCAAATCTCACCACTCATAGAAGTTGAGGGACCTCTGCTTACTGACACACACATCAGCTTTAAGGTGTGTACATGACATTCTTATACTCTTGCAAAAGCTTTGAAGTCAACATGAAATAAAAGAAAAAGAAAAAATCTTTTATGCTGCTGTTGTAGAGTGGACGTCTAAGTGCTGTTATTTATTATTGATTAGCATTAATGTAATAAAGTTACAACAACAAGCATAAATAACAAAAAAAAAATGTGGATAAAGTGTTGCATTGGTCCATGTGGTGGTGCTCTTGAGGGTGAATCCACATTCTGGTCTAGATGTCTCCTCAAAAGTGGGTGACGGTAGCATTTTAAGACAGAAGTAATCTTCCACAATCCACTGCAAATTTACATTCAGATCTCACTCATTTTCCAGGCTGACCCACTTTTCACCATCCATTAAATTCCTGATGGATTATATCAAGTATTGCCCTACATTGTTTTATCTCATTAAATAACAGTTAACTCTGAAATGTCACAAAATGGGTTGTGAAAGCCATTTGAGTTTATTGAGTTTTAATGTACAGTGGGGGTCAAACGTTTAGAATAATTAAGATTTTTAATGTTGTTGAAAGAAGTCTCTTCTGCTTACAAAGGCTGCATTTATTTGATTACAAATACAGTAAAAACAATTTAAAATAACTGTTTTCTATTTGAATATATTTTAAAATGTCATTTATTGCTGTGATCAAAGCTGAATTTTCAGCATCATTACTCCAGTCTTCATTGTCACACGATCCTTCAGAAATCACTTCAATATGCTGATTTGCTGCTCAAGTGACTTTTCTTATTATAATTAATGTTGAAGTTGAATAATTAGCCATAAAGTGGGGTGTTAGAATAGTCTTTTTTAGTATTCCTTATATAAATTTCACATGAATATAGTTGATATTGGGTAATATAATAACAATTGTAATATTGAGACAATTTATATTCAGTAAATCATTGATTTAACTGTATTTCACGTTGTTGAATGAAAATACAAAATAAGTGAATTGATATGAATAAATTACACTGTTATCTGTAGAGTTACAAATCTATATTTGTAATTATAACTGTAGGTATTGTTTCCTAATTGAAGAATATTGTAACACTCTTTGAAGCTGCTTCAAAATAATTTGTATTGTATAAAGCACAGTATAAATAAACATGACTTGATATAGCATGTGTGAAAATATAATGTTGCTTAATTGCAGCTGTTGATATCAGTAATTAGACAAAAGTTAAGAGTTTGTAAAGATAAAATACAGTAATTTTTTGTGTGTGTTTTACTATTCTAAATAATAGAAGAGAGTCTTAAGTGTGTGATTATTTTCTCTCTGTAGTTGACGATGCCAAGCCCAATGCCCGAGTATCTGAATGTGCATTATATCTGTGAGTCTGCATCACGCCTGCTCTTCCTCTCCATGCACTGGGCGCGCTCTATTCCAGCCTTTCTTGCTCTCGGGTGAGATCTCTGTTGTGGGGTTTCTCTCTGTACTTCTGCATGCTATCTCTCTAGAGTATGTCAGTTTCTGTCTCTCTGTACGTGTAGGCAGGAATGTAACACAGCTCTGGTGCGAGTGTACTGGAATGAGTTGTTTATTCTGGGTCTGGCACAGTGCGCTCAGATCATGAGTCTGTCCACCATCCTCGCTGCCATCGTCAATCATCTGCAGTCCAGTATCCAGGACGGTAATGGCACAGCTAAACATCAAGTCTGACATCCACAATGTTTACAGAGTGTACTTTCTGCTGGAGACTAGAGATATTATACAATAAAACAGTTACACAGAGTCTGCATCCAAAAAAGACAAAGCGACAGTAGGAACCTTCAAACTGCTAAATTTAAGGATTTCTTTATAAAGATTATTTTTTAAAAATTTTAATGATGAAAACATCTCCAATTCTCCAATATCAAAAATTGTTGATGTTGGAAGCATTGCTAGAACAAATAACCTCTGATGTAACTGTAGTGTTGTCATTAGTCTTTAATTAACTAACAACTGATCTCCTCTCAGTAGACAAGCTATCGAGTGAACGCATTAAACTAGTCATGGAGCACATATGGAAGCTGCAGGAGTTCTGCAACAGCATGGCAAAGCTGCAGACAGACGGATATGAATATGCCTACCTAAAAGCCATTGTCTTGTTCAGTCCAGGTACACATGCCAACAGCTTTACACAATTAAATTCCTCAGAGAAGGCCAGAATGTTGCATTTGGGTGATTGAAAAAGTTGTAGTAAAACAGAAGTAAACTCACAACTGATTCATTTATTCACAAGATCATCCAGGTTTGAGTAGCTGTAGTCAAATTGAAAAGTTCCAGGAAAAAGCGCAGATGGAACTCCAGGACTATGTGCAAAAGACTTATCCCGATGATACCTACAGGTCTGTTCCATACTAAAGTAATACTCTGGGTGAAATGCATCATAGTCTCGATCAACAGCATTTGTGGCATGCTGTCATGCTGTTTAAGGAAAAACATGTTTGCAGTGTCCTGGTGGGAATTTAGAATGCAAACGGCAAGCAACTAAGCAACTGCATCTTAAAATATGCAGTTCACACTGTTTTGCGTCTATGGCCTTAATAACTTTCAGGTCCTGTGCCATCCAAGAAACTACCGTTGAGATGAATGGGAATGCTAACGAATTGCTTGCTGCAGGTATTCTTGACCTCCTTCGACACAAGTGTCCGTAAAGTATTGTTTCCATGAAGCAAAACTCACCCACAAGAATTACACTTCTAACGAACAACCAGAAGTTGTATATTCTCAGATAAAGTATAAGAAAACTGTAAACTTCACTGCTTTTAAATTCTCTGGCCCTAAGTATATTTATGATTTTTTTTTCGGTGGTTACTGACAACATGCCTCATTTGCTGTTCACAGAACTGTGGTTATATTGCATTTAGTTGTTAATTGGCTGATTTGCTAATGTCCTTTCATTAATTGCTCATTGATGTGGCAGGTTGGCCCGAATCCTGCTGCGTTTACCAGCGTTGCGGTTGATGAGTTCCAGTATAACTGAAGAGCTGTTTTTTACCGGCCTTATTGGAAATGTACCGATCGACAGTATCATCCCATATATCCTTAAAATGGAGACTGCAGACTACAACAGCCAAATCACAAGTCCCTCTGTGTGATCGCACTTTGACTGTCATTTCATTTTGACCTTGAGACTGAAGTCATGCAAGTCCCATCATCCCTTGCCCTCACGGGGACTCAAATATGTCACAATATATTGAACCGACCAACAAGCTCTACCTCAAGAGGAGCTGCAACAGTGAAAGCCTTTCGGTATGTGACCATTACCCTAGAAATATTGTGTTGTAGTTTACAGAGAGATGCATTATGGGACTTTCAGTTCCAATGACAGGACATTTGCCTAGAAAATTAAACAAAGGCCTTTCTTTTTGTAAACCCTTATTTAAAAACACTTGAGCACTTCATGATGATTCCAATGGAAACAGTCCAAGACAAAATTTTTACATCCTCAAATTCTCCTAATAATTTTTTTATTACCTATGAGCAATGATCTTTTCCAAAGGAAGACGTGATTCTTGATTGAATGTAGCAGTTGATATCAAGGCAGTTTTCTTCTGAATCTCTGGATCCCTGAATCTCTACTTGTTCATTTTTCTCATCGATAAAGCAGTTGAGTAGAAAGCAAATTTTCTGTGTCCCACAGATCGTGTACTTGTACTGTCACTTCTGTCGTCATGACAATCAACCTCCTTCTCCTCAATATCATATTTTACCTTCAAACTCATGTATTTATTTCATTGAGTCTAACTCTATAGTTCATACAAATGTAGATAATCTGATTTGCTTGGTTTAAAAAAAAAAAAAATCTTATTAAATGATATATAGAAAGTATTTGATCTGTATCTTTATAGCATTTGACTGCTGCTGCAATGTACAAAAGGTGTCATTTTCAGATGTAATATATCCACAATTGTGATGGTTTAATGCACTTAGATTACTAATTAGCTTTTAATTTGCAGATATGTGCACAGATAGTTTATAAGTTAATTTTTAATGTCTCATTTTGTCCTAATTGTAAGAAAAGTATTGACATGCACTTATTTATGTGATTTTCCCACCCAAACAAATATTTACATAGGCTGTATTTATTTGGGTTTAAAATTAGTAGTTCGGAGGAAAGAAAAAAAAAAAAAGTAAATATACTTGAACTTCCAGACTTTGGTATTGGTTAGCCACATTGTTTTTTACGTCCCAACGAACTATAATATGATAAACCACACACACCCACTGTAACATGGGAAAGCATGCCAAGTCATAAGTGAACTGAGCAGAAGCTAATTACATTTCAATAGGATTTTTGTTTGGAATTACCAGCTGTGCAACTGTGCAGTCTGCTTATGATCTGTACAAAATGTGCCTCATATATTTGAAAACCTACAAACTAACTCACAAAACTGGTGGTTTTGTATTTGCATGCGTGCTTCATTTATGCAACGAGCATCTTGTTGTTAGATGTTTGAGTGAATTTCATCAATTTCTTGTTAAACAAGAAAAAAAAAAGTTTCAATGACTATTACCATTGTTACACACATTACTGTAAAGCGATGGCTGTTGAATAGATGTCCATTGGCAAATATGTAGATTATATTCGAAAGAATATTCACTTCTCCATGCAAATGAACATACAAACATTGACATCAACCTTAATCATCAGCAATGTCAAAATTATTCTTTATAGAAATTGCTTAAACCCTGCTTTACAGTTTGAACCTCTGTTACAGAAGAGGTTTCTGTTTCCCATAAATGTTCTATTGTATAAGGTTTATTGTTGTTTTAGAATTCTTTCAGAAATCATCTCTACTTGGTCTCAGTGATTTTGTCAAAAAACCCTAGTTGCTTTTTCAAAAACACCCCCCCACAAACTGTTTTATATGGTTTTAACACCGACAGGAAGGTATTTTAAACAAAATTGTGTACGTATTTTAAAATGCCTAATGTTTTTGGTTTCAGTCTGTAAGTGACTGGTTTATAGGTGTTGTAATGCTATGTTGTAATTCTAGTCATTTCTGTTTTCATCTGTCTGTGAGACAATAAGAAAGCTGTGCATGAACTGTCCTTTAAATTGTATTAAATTCTATACTGATGTGGAGTTTATATATTGTGCCGTGAAAACACACACACACACACACACACACACATATATATATATATATATATATATATATACAGTACATTCAGAATGTACTCGGACCCCTTCATTTCTTTTCTTTTTCTTTTTACTGTTTGTTATGCTGTAACCTTATGCAGCATTTAAAAGAAGACTATTTATTCAGTAATGTTATCATTCATGGTATATGAAAGATGTAAGAAAAAGCTAAGAATTTTCTTTTTTTCTTTTCTTTTTTCTTTTTTTTTTTTTGAAGAAAGTTTTATAAAAAGATAAAATACTACATAGAATCCTAAATCATACACTGTAAAAAATGAATCATGGGTCTTGTAATTTTCATTAAAAAAATTAAGGTGATAATTAAAAATATTGTGTATATTTCATTAAAGAAATTGTGATTCAGTGTTGTATAGAAAATATTGAGGACTTTTTACTAATAAAACCAAGAGATGTGTTTTCCTCATTTTTTTTAAAGGAAACGTAAGCAGTTTGGGGGCTTGAATTGAGGAACTGATTAAACTAAAAAAAATTAAGGAAAGAAGGCTACCTATTTATTTTAAGAGAATTGGCTAAATTTTGCAGTTTTATTTTAGAGGTGATTGTTAGTTCCCAGCATGCTTTGCACATGGCTGGATATGGAGAGTAAATTTTGAAATTAAATGCTATTTTATGTGTTTTTGAGTGAAGGTCAACATCTTTTAATGTTTAATATTCAGTTATGTTTGACATTTGAAAGAGTTTCTGTTACATTGAAGTTTCCATTGTACAGTGCATTCGTTACCATTGTGCAGAAGAGTAGAGCTTATGGTTATGGATACTATACTCCTCTAAGGCATTAAGCCTCGTTCAATGAGCAAAATGAGATTTGCTAGTACAGTACTTTACAGTATTTCTCAAGTATTTTTCTACTTGAGCTGTTTTAAATGTACAAAATAACTGAAAGTCAAATACAAACAAACCTCACTCAAAATCACAGACTTTTGAGAATCAACTTAAAATAAATGAGCACATTTCACTAATTATATTAAATTCATTATGTCATAGATTAATTAATTTAGGAGATTTCACATGATTTATTCAGGTAGATTCCATTAAAAAATCAAGCGCTTTGCACATGGCTGGATATGGAGAGTAAATTTTGAAATTAAATGCTATTTTATGTGTTTTTGAGTGAAGGTCAACATCTTTTAATGTTTAATATTCAGTTATGTTTGACATTTGAAAGAGTTTCTGTTACATTGAAGTTTCCATTGCACAGTGCAATCGTTACCATTGTGCAGAAGAGTAGAGCTTATGGTTATGGATACTATACTCCTCTAAGGCATTAAGCCTCGTTCAATGAGCAAAATGAGATTTGCTAGTACAGTACTTTACAGTATTTCTCAAGTATTTTTCTACTTGAGCTGTTTTAAATGTACAAAATAACTGAAAGTCAAATACAAACAAACCTCACTCAAAATCACAGACTTTTGAGAATCAACTTAAAATAAATGAGCACATTTCACTAATTATATTAAATTCATTATGTCATAGATTAATTAATTTAGGAGATTTCACATGATTTATTCAGGTAGATTCCATTAAAAAAAATCAAGCCTGTAATAACTACTCAAAAATATTATGTGTAATATTGTTACCATAATTTTTTTTAAGTAAATAGCTCGTTCCATTTTTTACAGTGTAGTAAACTGAGCCAATTCATTTTAAATGTGTTATTAGTATCGAAATTTCGAGACCCCAGCTGAAATGGTACTCTAAAAGGGGGCTTCTCCCCCTAGTGAGCATTTTCAAGTGACATATTACAAAATTTACTGTAATTTATAATCCAAACTTTCTAATCTTGAAACACATATAGTTGAAAAGGTCTGAGTCTCAAGGTTCCATATTTGGTGGTTATTTTGTGATAGAAAGAATATTGAGACAGAAATGTATAAATTTGTGACAGGAAAATGCATAAAAATAAATAAATAAATTGTCACCCGGTGTCTATTTTTGGTACAACACCTACACAAAATCTCACAGGAACCTCAACTGATGTGACATCAACTTTAAATTTGGATCATAACTTATTTATACTAATGGCTTTAATTTTATAGCAATTTATATATTCCAAAATGTTTGTAAAATAGTTGTTTTATATCAAATAAAAAATATACAGTACATTTTCTTTACAGTAAACTTGAACTTCTATAGCGTTTATACATTTTCATTTTTAAAATGCTTTCACATTACTGCTGATGGTCTTTTTTAAAAAGAGACCAATCTTAGGTCCGTATTCCAAAGCATACATGAGAGAGAGAAAAAGGTTGCTAAAGCTAATATACTAATCCTATAGGCCGTGTTAAGATTTAAAGTGCAATTAGGTAACTAGATACAACTTATGTAAAAAAAAAAAAAAAAAAAAAAAAAAAAAAAAGGAGATGAAAAAAGAATAAGAAAAAAAAACTCAGTGAGGAACAACAATGTTGCTTTGCTTCATAAAAGCAATCTGGAACTTTAAGAGCCATCTTCAGTCCACACTGCACGTTGACCAGCGGCTACAGTTTAGCTCTAGCATCAATGTCCTGCTTAACCAACGCCTCGTTGATGTGAAGTCTGTTGTCCTTCAAGTAACGAGAGTCCTTCGTAGCTCACCACATCATGTCCGTAAAGATCTGCATGGTAATGCGCATGATTATATTACGGGGCGTTCCAACAGATCTCCTTTGTCCCAGACGGTTGTAGTCAAGTCGCCTTTATTTATATAGCGCTTTATACAATACAGATTGTCAAAGCAGCTTTACAGTGTTAAACAGGAAAAACGTGTTCTGATAATGCAGGAGGACAATAGAAAACAGTCAGTTTATCAGTTAAAGTCAGTTCATTATTGATTCAGCGATGTCATCGTCCAGCTCAGTTCAGTTCTCTTCCAATAGTGTCTGTGCAGTCAAGTCAACAATGTTGCCAGAAAGGCACTGGCTCCCTATTAAACATCGTATACTTTGTTTTTGTGATTTACATCAGTTAAATTTGTATAAAATACACTATATATTTTTGTGTCAGTACATTAATGGCACATTTGAGCAGCATTAGTAAACTGTGTAAATATAAACAAATGCCAAATCACATGCAGGTTTTTTTAGACCGGAGACCATAATCGTGATAATAATATTATAATAATTTATTTTATTATTATATTAAACGTCCAGTTTTTCTTTCAATAATGTTTTTTAAAGTTTTGCAAGAATTTCGTGAT